ACAGCGGTTCGTCAACGGTAGCCCTAAGATTGGAACGAACAATTGCAGCTACGCCGCCCCACTGCCGATCAAAGGTAGAAGAAGGCTCCCGGGATATCGCAAAGATTTCATAACCCTCCGGAATAGGCAGCGTCAGCTCCTGGCTAGGATATAAGTGCGTTTCCTGAAAGAAATTTATGTCATATTTTTCGAGGTCCGCAAAGAAGGCGGGGTGAGAGAGATTCGCCGCAAGACGACCATCCACATTCCAACATCTGATAATTATCTCTCGCCCATCTTCCTCAACAACTGTATTAGATTGTGTTTCCGGAGCACTACCCGGTACAGGAGAGGAGTACATACTTTGCTCCTGGCCAATGCAGGAGCTAGTAGTAGAAGAATGGTTATTAGAATCAGACAAAGGAGTAGGTGTGCGCTCGGCGCTTTCATCTCTCACCCCAACACGTCAATCAAGGACATTGACAGTGACATGCAGGCACTCCCGAGTGTGGTGACTCCAGGACATCCACGACGACGCCAAGGCCTGGGCATTGAGACGTGCACTGCGGCCACCTCCGCCAACAAATTTGGCCCGGGCATATCCGTCCCGACTAGGCTTGCTCACGAACACAGGAACGGGGGCCGGGGCATAGCCGTCGCGCTCAATGCGCTCACAAAATCGGATAAAGACATCGCGTGAGCGAGTCCCCCAAGTGACCGGGCCAACCTCGACCCAAGCCTCATCAGGCTCGCGGAACGGCGGAGGAAGAGAATCATCAGCGCCCGTGTCACCGCGTGACCGGTCACCTCTATGTGCCTTTCCTTTTCCTTTCCCCCGGCCACGCTTGCTCCCTCCGTCATCGCGACGACCGCGGGATCCCCCTTCCTGAGGCATAGAACCCCCGAAACGATGAGGATCCTCGTCGTGACGACCACGAGTGTCATCTTCGTGAGGTCTAGAGCCCCCGAAGCGGTGCGCATCCTCTTCAGGCACGGCAGAGGAGCGCAAATCGCCACGAGGAGCCAATTGAGCACGAGAAGAGTGAGGAGCGTGAGCACCCGTAGGTGGGAATGCCGGCGTACGAGATGCTGACGAGGAGGTATGATGCACAGCGGGCAGCGACGAAGACGCCAGCGGAGGAGGTCTATGGAAGGGAGGCGGGAGGCCAGATCCCCGTGCCGGTGCGTCCGAGATGCGCTGTTCCAGTGGCACAACAGGCGGCTTGCCGCGAGCAGGGACTGGGGCAGGTGCGTCATGCTCTGACTCTGAACTTGAGCCAGAGGACTGAGCGGGACGAGGCCGTTTAGAGGAGCTAGAAGCCTCCGGGCTGCGAGCCTTGCGCTTGTTCCCCGACTTGCGCACCGGGGACTCGCCCGACTCACTGCCAGTATCGAAGACATTGGCCCGCTCCTCGCGGAGGCCAGCAATCTCGTCATCGAGCCGCTTGAGTTTGGCGGCGAGGCTACGGATCTCAGTACGGACCGTCATCGCCGTTGACTCTGCGTCGTTGATGCGGTCGACGAGGGTGTCGACGAGCCTGCGTGTCTCGTCGCGCAGGGTATCAGTGTATGCAAGCGCATACACGACGGTGTTCTTGCGGCGGGAGCCAGACCCATCGTCTGCGAGACTTGCAGTGGATTGCACCCGGCCCAAAGGAGTCGCCGCCGGCTTTGTGCGAGGACGTCCAGGTCTGCGCTTCTTTGACGGCGCTGTGCCCTCCACCTGATCATTTATCGGCAGGTCTGAAGTTGACGCAGGGGGAGGGGCTGAAGTCGACACAGGTGGAGGGGCTGCCAATGCGTTGGGCGTTGCCTTTGCCGGGACCGCCGCAGTTGCCACGAGCGCCCCAGTCGCTTTCTCGTAAGTCCCCCTTGTCTGGCCTTGCATTGAGCGAAGATGGCTAGGAGCTGGGGGGGGTTGCTGAGAGGCGGCCTCGGGAGCGGAGATTTGAGCAGACACAGTCTGCGAGGCGGCGTTGCCCGTAGCAACGGGCGAGGGAGAGCGGCTGCCGGTGCGGTCGGTGTCGTTCTCATCATCTGAGAGCGACCCGTCGCTCTCGTTGTGGGTATAGGAAGGCTCCTCTTCGTCGCGGACGGATTCGGGGCCTAAGGAGAGTTCCTCCTCATCAATGACGACGGAGGGATTGTGCTCAGCACGGCGTGGAGGCATAGCGCAGAGGATCGTAGATTAGAATGTTATTAGTATGATAGGTAGAGGGAGAGGCTACAACGTAGATAGGATATATAAGAGGGGGGCGCTCGATGGCGGCCCCACCTGAAACAGACAGCGACGACGGACAGGGGTCCGACGACGGCGACGGCGTTTCCGCAGCGTCGATCGTTATGGGGCGTAGGGGTACGCTATAAGCAGACAGCTGCACTCGAGAGTGCAGCGGTAGGTACAGATATTTGGATTTAGGATTTTAGATTGTGGTGGTAAGACGACAGTGCAAGTGTTGAGCGGTGCCCTGCGACTTGGTAATATTATCTGATCAGTTCTTGGCGATGAACAGGTGATCTCAATCAACTAGTAGAAAATACCGTTTTCGTTTTGTGCACGGGTGCCAGGGTCTCTCAAGGGATGGACGCAATCTTGATCATGAACTTTGTGCTCGACTCCCTGCCAGCTGAGGCTGGCTCACAAATCGGTTTAACCGACGTCGGCTATCATTACGCCTAATTTTGATTTGCGTGTTTTGTGCGTGTTTGGTGTCAAACACACTGCCTTGGCTTTTCCTTTCCTCACTGGCTTAGTGGCTCGTCAGTCCACCTGGAAGGACCTCGTATGGAAGATGACCCTGTTGCTTATGCCCAAGCAATGTGAGCAACCCATTTCTGGTTCCTTGGTATTCACTGCCGTCTAAGACGCCGTTCTTCCCCAGAGTTACCCAAAACTACTGTAACATCTTTGGCATGGGTATGCCAGTGTCGCTTGATTTTTCTTATCCTGGTCCAACAGTTCTCTTCGTGTAGTCCTTCTGTACTGGGAAATTCTCGTAACACTTGGTGAGTCGCCCGCTAATGGGAGTCATGGTATTAACCTTTTTCAAATAGACACTGAAGTCCAATACATGTGGGGTGGCCCCAAGTCTTGGGGGGCAATTTTCTTTTTCATGGTCCGCTACGGCGTGTTGATAAGCAACATTCCCCTCGCGGTTTTTTCGTTCGTTACTTTATCACCTGAGGTGAGTGTGTACCTTCAACCTTCAACAGTGGTGCCTGTCGTCTGATGACTGGCCAGGGGTTCGTGAGTTTCTCGCGCTTCAATGCTTAGACTGACTTCCATCTAGCTGCTCCCGCCACAATCTAATTCACCAAATCCTTCTAATTTTTACTCAAAGTATCGTATCTAGTATGTATTCACCTTTCTCCCACGGATGCTCTAACACAACCGACCAGTCATTATGATCCAGCGTATGTGGGCTCTATATGGTCGCGATAACCGCGTATTGTGGTCGTTGTCTGCAGTTGGGGCATGTAACGTGGGCCTTATTATCGTGCGTCCCCAACACCCAGGCCCTTCTAACCCCGTCGGCGAACCTCAGAATTTTACAGTGGCTGTTGCAGAATCAAGATGCGCACCCCATCTCAGTTCTGCCAGGTTGCAATGTCGATTTATCCCGCGAAACGTGCTGGTCCATTCTCGTTCTATGCATATCGACTAACCAGCAATTCAGATCCCTCCGTGTGTCAACCGGCCTACATGATATGTTCCCTTCTAATGATTAGATCTGGCCGGGGCCTGGAGCGCCCTTTTTCTGTTCGATACAATCATCTTTGCACTCACAATATGCAGCGCATATTCGACGAGAAGACAGCTGGGAGCGCAAGCGCAAGCGGATATGCCGCTTCACACCTTGATCATCAGAGATGGTGGGTCTTCCCATGCTCTTTAGCTGTTCATGAAGTAAATCCCATGAAATACAGGTGCAATTTATTTCGCGTAAGAGTGAACCACACTGTAAATTCTCACCAGTTAATCCTGCCATAGCGCGATAGGTTTAGCGAATCTTGCCAACATTATCACCTTTATTGTACGTCGCCGGCCTCTTTATTTGCATTCTCTTTGACTTACAATGCTTCAGATCGACGGAGTAAGCCCTTCCCAGGGTCATAAAAAGATCTCAATTAATCTCGATTTTCAGCCTCTTCTCCCCGGTTCTCTGACAATGTTCACCACCTGGTACGTATGTGTTCTAGTGTGGAGCGAGAAAATAACATTGCGAACCTCTAGCATCTCTGTCGCCATGGTCTCCCGTGTTATGATGAATATCTACAAAAAAACGGACGTGGATGCGTCAGAATTTAACCTCTCTATTCTGCGGGAAGGCGCGAGCATTGACGTTCCGGATTCTGATTCTCCAGAGGCTGAGGCGGTTCCCCACCCGGATCCATGTCAATCAGTGTAGGCTCGGCGCGGTTCGCATGACTGTATTTGTTGCCAGTGTACATTACGCAAAGTAGAAATTGTCTGGACTTAACCGTTCGCCTTACTTTGTTTCGGCCATTGTTTGACACTGCAACTTACAACTTATTCGCGCTCAAGACTATCGGCTGTTGGTGAATTACTTACGGCCCTTCAAGCGTCGAGATCCTAAGGGCCCTCTTCTTTGCCAAAAAGGAAAGACAAAGGCAAGCTGTGGTCCAGGCTCGATCGAGTGACTGTCGGACAAAGTTCCCCACCCAAGATTTGATAACCGATACCAGGGCGTAATTTCATACCTTTGAAGCGACATCTTGCTAAATCTCAGGATTTTTAAAAAAAACAACCGCCCTCCCCTTCCATGACCCGTGCTCGAATCGAACGAGCGTTTGCTTCCTGCAGAGATAACGAAATGATGATGGACATAAATGTGGATGCCACCGGGCCTTCCGCTGTTACATGCAAACCCTCCTAAGATAGCCTCTTTCCGACGATTAGACTCGCGCGCAAGGTCAGAGCGATATATAGGTTAGATGTCGCTGCTGCCACGAATTTTATGCTCGGTGCCAAACCCAAAAACAAGGTCCCAGAAGTATAATGACCCAGGCCCGAATCGAACGAGCGCTCCGCATAATACTCAGGACGACACCTTCATCCAATGCGGGTGCGGACCATCCGCCACTGGGTCTTCTCTTGTACCCAGCATTTGTAGGAATAAGGTTTTGAAGTCGATGCGCTGAATTCGTACCCAAATTTGGTAGGAGTTAGTCGCTTTATCCTTGTTCCTTGTTGCAACTACGCCCAAATAATATTTGCATTGGTAATTATTCGGGACCTCGGGTGCCTACTAGCTGATACTCTATGCTCTCAGAATGATCGAAGTTCAATTTTCGAATCGGGACCGAGTTAGAACGCCGGGCGCATCAGATCGCGGGAGCATCCGAAAAATCCCGATGACTTCGAGTGTAAACTCAGTGACTAATTCGATCTACCGAGCTGGCTCGAGTTGATCGAGTTGAGGTTCCCACGGCTCCAGAAAAAACTGCGTACTGAGCCTCCATTGACCATCGGATGGTACTCCGAGGCAATATAGGTTGTGATATATTTTGGTTTGTGAAGTTTCTCTTTCTCTTTTCCCTCAAACGAGTGAGCCATACGTGACTTTCATGTTAAATCGGGAGATATCTGCTATAGCGGCTTGAAAGAGGCAGAAAAAGCTGGGATAAAGCCGCGAAACAATTACATGTGGTTAATAGATGGCCCCCTATTTTTCTCTCGAATTATCGGGACAATACACGGTGGTTGTGATCATTTGGGGTCAGCCCATCCCGATTTGGCGAAAGGTCTCACACTTCGGGATTATCCGGCGACGAACATTTATGGTGGGAACTTTTTTAGAGTCAACTCGAGCTCGACTCACACTCGATGACGTCGGTTTGCGTCACTCGATCCTTGAGTCGAGTGCAAACTCGAGTTCAACTCGACTCGACGGCAACATCAGCTTCCGATTCGAGTGTCCGGTTTCACGAGTCACGACCTCGCTGATTTAGATGGGCCATCTCCTAATCTCCCTGACGAGTACGGATACGCATCCGAACGATTCAGGACCACATCGAGCGCAGATTTCGACGGCGTCGTGGATGGAACTTTGAAAGAATGGTAAGCATGCTTATATGGTTTCGCTGGTTTGGGCTCTTTCCTTGTATCCGTATTACGACCTCAGCTCGATCTCATCGATCTGATCCCCCGAGTCGATTCAGTTCAAGTTGAACTTTCTTTAAATATAGCCTGAGGGCGAAGCAAAAAGTCAACATTTTGCAATGTCTCCCACTACATACAGCGCCTGGTACGCAATCCAGAAGGGCCTCCCTGCCACTGCTCTTCAACTCAAAACTGGCATCCCAATCCCAACCAAGCTTCCCAAGGGCCAAGTCCTAGTGAAGGTTCAAGCCATTGCGCTCAACCCATTGTAAGTACTAACACGCCAAGCCCTTTGCTTTTGTACTAATCTATCCGTGCAGCATCTACAAGATGATGGCGGGTCTCCCTAACTTCGCCGCCGGCCGCCCGCACGTCGTCGAGCGAGATCTAGCGGGCGTAATCGTCAATCCGAACGGCACAGAGTTCGTCGTGGGTGACAAGGTCTTCGGCACTACGACCTCTAAGATAGGCACCATGGCGGAGTACGTCGTTATGCCGTCGTCATCCCTGGTGCTCCAGCCTCCCAACGTCACGCCCGTCGAGGCCGCGGGCCTCGGCATCGTCGTGCTCACAGCGCACCAGGCCCTCAAGAACCTCAAAGTCAAAGCGGGGGACACGGTGTTCATCAACGGCGGGAGCTCCGCCGTCGGGCTTTCCGCGATCCAGATTGCGAAATCTATGGGGTGCACGGTCGTCGCCACCGCAAGTGCCCGGAATAAGGAGACGCTGCTCCGCTTGGGCGTCGACGAGGTATGTCGCTTCGTTTTGTCTCTTCTTTTACATATAATTTGAAACTCAACAACTTGATGGCCAGTTCATAGACTATACCTCCTCTCCCCTCGTCTCGCAGCTGTTGGCGCGCGCCGGCTCTACCTCCAGATCCTCCTCAAAGTCCGTCTCGAAACAAGCGACACCGCAGTTCAGCGCAATCTTCGACGCTGTCGGCCTCCCCGACGCCACTCTGTACCTCGCCTGCCCCCAATTCCTCTCGCCGGGCGGCGCGTTCGTCTCCGCCGGGGGCTTCCCCAGCACGCGCAAGGCTCTCGGAGGGATGCTGAGGCTGATATTCGAGGGGATGCTGAGGCCTGCGGTGTTCGGAGGTGTGCGGAGAAAGTTCGAGTAAGTTGCCGCGGTTTGAGTTGCGTTTCGAGCTGACGAAAAATATTGGGGTGTAGGATCGTGACCTGCCCGCTGGGGAAGCAAGATCTCGAGGAGGTGCGCGCCCTCGTAGCCAAGGGTGCGTGTTTCTGTTCTGCGCTCCTCTCCCCCTTCTCTGCTCCTCTCTGCTTAACCACCGCTGGTCTACTCTAATTTGAACTTCAAAACATAACGACTAATCTTCAGCAGGCGCAGTCAAGCCCATCGTCGACTCAGTACACGTGTTCGACCGCACGGGGGTAATGAATGCGTATGACAGGCTCATGACGAACCACGCGGTGGGGAAGGTGGTTGTTGCGCTGGACGCGGAGGCTGAGTGATGCGAGGTAGTGTTTGGGTTTGAGGCTCGGGAGCGGGCGCGACGCCATAATGTAGGCGGCAAGTGCAGTATGCGATGCTTGGGTTTGGTGCAACAAGACCGGGGGCTGGGGCGCATCTTTGTACGCTACAGCGTTCAGTATCGGTAGGACATTTGCATAGAATTCTGTGGTGTGAAAAAAACATTCCTCAAAGGCGGTGCCATGGCCCAGGCTCGAATCGAACGAGGAACTCCTGCAAATGTTCACAAACCGATAAATAGAAGCCAGCGCGGAACATCCGTCAATTTGCTTCGTGCCTTTGAAATATTCAACTTCTTTGGTTAGAGAATTGAGGCAGCAGTCCGAACGACTGAGGCTCCCGTCGAATGAACATCTCCTCTAACATTTAGTTGAGCTCGTTGGAGTTTTATATTCAGTGCAAGTGCGATCTCCACCACTAGGCCCTGTTCGCCTACTTGTGAATCCCGAGTCCCGACAGACCAGCATGAAATTAGGAGAAACAAAACAACCAACATCAGATTTCTCGGTGCATCCTGAAATTTAATGGAGAGGGTTGGATTAGATAGAACTCTCCTACCCGGGATTTTGACACGGAAAGTTTCCAATATCAAAACATTACCGTCGAAACCGTCAATTCTTCAAGTTCGCGCGCAACTCTCAGCATGTCAGGATATAGTACAACTTCGAGGGCGAGGAGCTCAGTAATGGGATGGTGGGTGAATTAAGTAATTTGGAACGAGCTAGTAAAATACTCAAGGCATAAATTGAACAATTTCAATGAACGAGCACATCGGAGTGGTGCAAACAGGTTGTTCATCCGAGTCTCGCGCAGCGTGAAGGATGACGGGATACGAAATGCCGAAACTTGATCGAACTTAAGAACGGTATTCGGCATCTCGGCTCATTTCTTCAACTGTGACGTGACTACTGCATTACTGTGTTGAATTTTGTATCGATGAAGGCATCCACGAGAAAAAGGCTGTATGAGGCGCCTACATTAAATTATGGCATGTTTAGTGAAACGACGAAACAAGATTGCAGACAGAAGCCAGGGGAGGAGCTAATTGAACAAACGATCAGATTGCAACCGGCTCTCTTGCACCTGAAAACCTCTCAACTCCCCGAGCTGGGTGGATATCCTGCGTGGGTGCTATTGTGGGAGCGACAATGTTTTCAAGGCGGTCTAAAGAGTCTGACTGCTCCCGCTGACCGGTAGTAAGCCTCGCATTGATCTGGTCAACACCCTGGGCCTGCAAGGATCTTTCAAAAAGAGGATGCGCAGTAGCCCAAAGGTCCCTCGCTTTCAAGAGATCACCGCGTTGCTTTGCTAGATCTCCCAGACGCAGCATACACTGCGCTCTAGCATGGTGAACATCCATATAAGTGAACCCCTCCAGCGCAACCGTGAATAAATTCTCCGCTGTTTCTTCATCTTGGGCTGAAAGGAACACATCTCCAAGGAAGCGGAGAGCTTTGTACAGCATGAGTACTTCCTTTGATTTGTGTGTCCAGGTCAAATATGTGACCGTCCAGACATATTGGTCGGCATTAGGAGGCCAGCGGCACACATCTGCAAGTCGCTCCAAGGAGTAGGAAATAGGACCAGCGTCGCGTCCCCAAGCCAACCTGAGACCGTTCTGAAGTATGGCATCTGCGACCGCTATATCACTTTCTCGCAGATGAAGATCGGCTAAATGCAGGTCACAGAAAATTATGCACTGGGGTATTTGGAAAGTGGTGGATGTCGTCCGTGCCGTTTCCAGGATCTTGCGTACATCATCCGGAGGCTTGCCAATCATTGTATCGATCTCTGCTATATTGAGTAGGGCAGTGATACAATCCAATGGATCCTGCTCCGACGATGTTCTCTGGAGAAATTGGTTGAATACATGTCGGGCTTCTGAATACTCTGTTTTTTCCTGATGACTGTAGCCCATCACAATTGTGATATTGCGATCCAAGAGACCTCCAGACATGCCACAAAGCTGGACCAGTCTCTGTGCTTGGTTGAGCGTCGATGTCCTATTTCTGTAGTTTCCAAGATTCACAGGTGACACTGCATCGAGTTCCAGTGCCTGTGCCTCCATATATAAACTCCCAGACAGCTTCGCAAGACTTTGCGCCTCGACAGCATGGATATGAGCGGAAGAGAAATTGCCCATAGTCCATTCGATGTGAGCCATGCCAATCAATGTTGATGCTGTCTGTCTGTTATTCCCGCACGACAGTGACAATACGTAGGCCTTCTGCATCGATTCCAAGGCGGATGATACCTCGTTTCTGCCACCAAAATACATTCCAAGGGCATGGTAGAATTTTGCTATGGCAATAATTTGGTTTAGTTTATATCAGACAAATAGTGGGTTGAACTCACACTGCAGAGTGGGGTTATCAAATTCCGGGAAGTGACTCACAACCTGTGCAACCAGCGGTTCCCAATGCACAACAGCATTGAAATTGTGTAAATGTGCCGCCAGGAATAGTGTCTCTAATTGGTGGTCACCAAGCT